GCGAAGCACCCACTAACAGCACTTCCGTCTTGTCTGGATTGAGTTTCAATTTATTAACCCTCATCCAGTCCATTATCAGGTCCAGACACGAGTTCAGCACAGAACTGTGCTATCTGTGTAATATTTAACTAAAATTTCAAAGAAAAGGAAGTCTATCTCCCCAAAAATGGTTCATGAAGACTGAAGATGCAAAAGTCACTTATAGGAGGCAGTAGAATACAAGGACACAACTATTTCACAATATGAAGCTCTTTCTCTTTGGGAGACTGAAACTCAGATGAGGCTGAGAACACTAAGGAACCTCATGGTGCAATGGTTAAACTACTGTACTGAAGCCAAAACTCTGCTCACAACCTGAGTTCAATCCCAAGTAGCTAGCTCAAGGTTCACTCAGCCTTCCATCCTTCAGAGGTCTATAAATTGAATAGCCAGCTTGGACTTTAACACACAGCCCAACCACACCCATCAATGGCACATCCTTACCCCCAACTCTGTTATCAAAACTAGAGGAAGAGCCTTGTGGTGCAGTGGTAAAACTGCAGTCCTGCAGTTAAAAGCTCTGCTCACAACTTTCATTCCATTCCAGCAGATTCAGGTAACCAGCTCAAGGTTAACTCATCCTTCCAAGGTCGGTAAACTGAGTATCCAGCTTACTGGGGGGGGGGCAATGTCTACCCTGCATAATTAAATTGTAAATCACCTAGAGAATGCTTTAAGTGCTATCTGGCAGTATATAAGCAGCATACATTAAGGAGAAAAGTCTAACAAACCTCCTACCAATTTAAAAGAGGCATTCTTTCAGCCATCAGGTCCAATGTAAATTTGTACCTGCCAGAAAGCAATAGTGCAGGTATTAGGGGTTCATCCAGATTCCCTCATCTCCGCTCTTGGCTTGCAATGTGTCTGTGCCAGATTGTTTGCTTCTTCTTCCATTCAGAATATTCTTTTGGGTGCAGGGGCAGCAGGGGGCAGACTGGGATTTCTCCTTAAGTTGTAACAATTTTTTATTCATAAATAGCTTCTATTTAATACAAATTTGTTAGTATGTTTTTTGTATTATGTAAACTATCTTGGACAGAGAGCCAAGAAATGGACTGAATACAGAAATAAAAATAAATGAATACTGCAAGATCTCTGGATGATCTTTGGGCAGTGTGGCACTAAGGGTTTGCGATTCCCAGCTGAAAAGCAACAAAGAAGTCTCCTTACGCTTGCTGTTAGTATTTGGTACCTTTATACATCCACCTCCAGCTGGTGGGACTCTAAAGAACACCGAGTAGAACCTCCATCAACCTAAAGACTGCTTAGCATGCCTGCCTTAGGACAGTTGTAACGCCTGGTGAAGCTGTTCTTATTTATGGGCAAATATCCCCTCACTGCCATGAAAGGAGTAGCTTGTATAGAGAGAATATTTGCTTCCCATTTTGCCCATCATTATTTCACAGGACTGGTGCCACAAAAATCATTAATTAATTAATTATTATTCCCCCACCCCAAATATAGGGATCCAAGGATACATACAACATGATGAAAAATCTGATACAATTAAAAGCACATTAAGTTATACTATGAAAACAAAATGAAAGAGATTATTGTGTTAATATGACTAACTGAAAACTTCTTTTTTTAAAAAAAATCACATCAGGAAAAAGCCCTCATAAACTACAAGCATCTCTTCCTTAAAATACCTTCCTTGGCAGCCAATCAGTTGACCAAAAACTTTTGAAGAACAACAGGCAGGGAGATTGACAGGCACTCAAGGCAGCCAATCAGTTGACCAAAAACTTTTGCCCAAGGTAGAAGAACAACAGGCAGGGAGGAGGTCTGCTCTCCCTTGGAAGGAAGATTGACAGCCACTCAAAAGGCCCTCTCTCATGTCCTCACCAAACCCACCTGTGAGGGTGGCAGGACACACTGAAGGGCCTTTTCTACAGGTCTTAAAACCAAGGGAAGGTTATGCAAGGAGATGTGATCCTCAATGAACCTGGACTCAAACTGCATAGGGCTCTGTAGGTCAAAAGCAGCACTTTGAATTGCCTAGATCAAGCTCTGCCCATTACTGACATCAAATACCAATTTAGCACTAAAACAGCTTTCTTGGATTTAGATCGCAAGGAGGAAGAATTGGGTGCCATTTGTATACTGGTGGCACTAAACTCCAGCTCTGGTCAATTTTCCCCAATGGTTTTATATGTTAATTAGCATGGAGATGAGACTGAAACCTTATAGTCCCTATAGGCTATTGCCAGGGAGACCCTCTGCACCACCCAATGGCAGCAGACCACATGTAACTAGGGACTCGAACTGGAGGGTTTAGAAGAGGCTATTCAGCAAATACTAATTTTAGGTACAGTGCCTAGAACAAGTTTGAATTCAGCAAATACTAATTTTAGGTACAGTGCCTAGAACAAATTTAAATATGAACTGCTGGACAACTCAGTGGTTTAGGAGCCAAAACTGGGAGTTCCGATTCCCCGTCATGAACTGCTGGACAGCTCAGTGGTTTAGGAGCCAAAACTGGAAGTTCCGATTCCCCGTTGTGCCTCCTTGAAAGGAGCTGGACTCAGTGATCCACAAGGCCCCTTCAGCTCTGCAGTCCTTTATAATGTACATACTCACAGCTGCTAGGTTACTCTGGGCCCAAAAATGGAAAAGTGAAGAAATACCAATGATGGAGGAGTTTCTAAAGACGTTGTTGGACATTGCAGGACTAGATCCACTTTCAGAAGTGTTACGGGAACAACCAAGAGACTATGTAAAACAAAACTGGAAAATAATATATGTTTGAGCCCAGAAAAAGACAAGGAGTTTAGGGCAAAACTTTGCATGTCACGTTTTCAATGCTCACCAGAAACCTACTGGAGAAATCCGAGATCCAAATGAGGTTGGAATCTCTGTCCTTAAAGGGGGGAGGGTTTGTTTTTGCTTAATAGTTTTTCGTTTATGTTGTAGTTGCTGGTTGTTTGATGTTTTGTGCTTGTATGCTTTGTAGTGATGTCTAAATAAAAAAAAATATATAAAAAGCTCTGGAGTTCTAAGATTATTATTAAGTTTTTTCTTAATCTAATAGGGCAGTTTCAGAGAACATTAATTTTGCTCCCCAAGAACTTTTACTTTCACTCTCATTTTCCTTCTCCAGACTGAGGGGCATTAAGGCTGCAATCCTATACAGTACTCACTAATTTAAGAGTAAGCCCTACCCAACACAACGAAGCTTACTTTTAATTAGGTGTGCATCAGACTGAATTATACAAGATAAACTTTTTTGCACTTATGCTTGACCAGTATTGTCCACTAGAGAAATAGGTTTCAACTGCTTCTATCTCATACTTCTGCTATATTCTATTGTTTCAGTAAAATATTCTTATACTGTACTGTATTTCTGGGATGGTAAAGAGTGATCAGTTCAGGAAATTATACATTTCAAGAAACCCACCAATCTTCAGTCACTTCTGCCAATTTTATGATGCATCAAGCAGATATTTTGTACTAAATTATTCTTCCATACAGCAAGGAAGATGGAAGTACTATTGTTGCCAAATTCTCAGAAAGTGATTTTTTTTGGGGGGGGGGGAACACATCCTCTAAGACTGTAAAACACTTTGAAATCACGTTCTATGGGCATTAATTGACTTGCTCATAAACTAAGTGCCAGGATGCCAAAAAATTAAATGCTTTGTACTTCTGAATGAGGAAATACAGGATTAGTATCTTAGAAATCACAAAAGTGTTTGTACGACATTTCAATTATCTTTTATCCAGCAGGGGATGTTATGATTGTTTGAAAAATGTCTTCATACAAACATAGAAACAAATGCACTTCCTAAATACTAGGCTGTTTTTCAATATTTCAGCCACTGCATTTGTTAATGTAATTCAGGAGCTGTGATTTAAACTACAATGACAAGAGCAGGTGCCACTATAACAAAAATAGTCAAGCACAGAAGACACATTTAAATCTTTAAGATGGGTCGCAAAAAATGAAGGTGCCAACCTAAAGGGGTCTGGCTATCTTTATTTTGATCTGTCCTCTCCAATTTCCCTCATCATTTATGGTACGTACTTTCAGATGTAATGAA